AATGTATGTATTTTGAAATAGCAGGCACTTAACACTCTACCTTTCTTTTAGAGTTCAAGCAGAGGAAGAGAAAGGTGGACCCTTTAATGGGACATAACACACATGCCTAAGAATTGCAACTGATCTGACGGGACAGACCCTATACATGACAATACCAGCATTAGAAAATGAACCACTTATTGAGCTATCATCAGGAAAAGAAGGTGCATATCCAAATATCCCAACTACAGACTTTTTCAACATGAATACATATACACACAGCACAATTGAGCTATGAACAAATCCACATGTGGCAGAGCCTCTCTTTAATCTTGCCCCACAGTTCAATTCCTTGAAATCCTACCACTCCCCATGCTCTTGTTCCCCACTTTCTTCCTGGACTTAATTTCTTCCTCAGAGTGACCCCTTACATGTAGACCTCTGACAGTGTTGTAGTGGGTTCACTGTGGTTAGCATGACCAGCTGCCAACAAAATTAATATGAACAGACAGAGGCAGTGATGAAAACACATAACGAAATGGAAGTTCATGAATACACATATAATTAATATACTGACCCCTCAACTCTTAAAGACAACTTCCTATATCCATATTCAGCTTTTTCCTCTATCTACAGCTCTGCCCTGTCTCTGTCAAATTCAAACCCTAGGTGACTCTGGCAACACCAAATTGATTTTGGCAACCAGTTTATATCTCACTCGTCACTGGAGGAGATGCCTATGCAAATCCCTGTGAGAGAAACTGGAGATGGAGAAAGTCTTTAAAACAAAATTAATTGAACTAAAGATCCCTGTATCAAAGCCTCCTTTCTCTCAGCTATCTGCAGCATCTCTTTATGAACATGCTGCACTTATTACTTGTCTCATTTTCTTTGGTGGCTCTCCCAAGAGGTAAGCATATATTTTATGGAAAGCTAAGGAATGTATGGCTAGATTACACGTTGATTAAATGATGTTTTTACATTCCTTGCAATGTTTTCTTTTTTCCAAACAGCTTTCTCAGACATCCAACTCGTATCATCAGGACCAGGAGTAGTGCAACCTGGGGAGACTCTCAGTCTAGTATGTAAAGTGACAGGATTCCCCATCTCCACTTCTTCTTCTTATGCTTGGCACTGGATCCGCCAAGCACCTGGAAAAGGACTTATATGGGTTGCAGCAATAAATGTCAACAATGGGAACACATTTTATGCCTCTTCTCTGAAGAGCCGGGCCGTCATTTCTTCAGATACCTCCAAGAATGAGTTTTTTCTCCAGCTGAAGTCTCTG